CTTCCCGCAGAGCAGGGAGCCCGATGCGGGGCTCGATCCCAGGACCCCGGGATCATGACCTGAGCCGAAGGCAGACGCCTAACGACTGAGCCACTCAGGTGGCTTTTCTTACCAATTTGGATGCTTTTAATTTCTTAAGGAATCTCCATATTGTTTTGCAGGTATTTGGAAAAATCTGTGGCTGCACCAGATTTACATTCCCACCAACAGTGCACAAGGGTTCCCTTTTCTCCACATCCTTGCCAACACTTGTTATTTTGATATTAACTATTCTGACATAATGAGGTGATAACTCATTGTGGGTTTGATTTGCATTTCCCTGATGATCAGTGATGTTGAACATCTTTTCATCCTGTCTGCTGGCCATCTGTATGTCTTTAAAAAAATATCTATTCAGATCTTCTGCCAATTTTTTAAATTGGATTGTTCTTTTGGTGTTGAGTTATATGAATTCTTTATAGATTTTGGATATTAACTCCTTATCAGAAATACCATTTGCAAATATCATTTCTCCTGTTCAGGTTACCATTTTGGTTTTTTTTGTTTGTTTTGTTTCCTTTACCATGCAAAAGATTTTTAGTTTGATGTAGTCCATATTGTATATTTTTGCTTTTATTTCCCTTGCCTGAGGAGACAGATCCATAAATATGTTGCTAAGGCTGATATTCAAGAGATTAGTGCCTATGTTTTCATTTAAGAGTTTACGGAAAAAATAAAGAGTTTTATGGTTTTGTGTCTCACATTTAGGTCTCTAATCCATTTTGAGTTTATTTTTCTATAAGGTGTAAGAAAGTGGTCCAGTTTTGTTCTTTTTTTTTTTTTTTAAAGATTTTATTTATTTATTTGAGAGAGAATGAGAGAGTGAGAGCACATGAGAGGGGGGAAGGTCAGAGGGAGAAGCAGACTCCCTGCTGAGCAGGGAGTCTGATGCGGGACTCGATCCTGAGACTCCAGGATCATGACCTGAGCCGAAGGCAGTCGCTTAACCAACTGAGCCACCCAGGCGCCCCAGTTTTTTTCTTTTGCATATAGCTGTTCCGTTTTTCCCAGCACTATTTATTGAAGAGATTGTCTTTCCCCATTGTATATTTTTGCCTCTTTGTCATAGATTAATTGGCCACGTAAGTGTGGATTTATTTATGGGTTCTTTATTCTGTTCCATTGATCTCTATTTCTGTACTGGTATCTTACTGTTTTAATTACTGTAGCTTTGTAGTCTATTTTGAAATCTACTATTGTAATACCTCTGGCTCTGTTTTTTCTCAAGATTGCTTTGCTATTTGGTGTCTTTTATGGTTCTATACAAATTTTAGGATTATTTATTCTAGTTCTGTGAAAAACACTTTGTATTTTGAGAATCGGTAGGTTGCTGTGGGTACTATGGACATTTTAACTATTCTTCCAATTTATAAGCGTGGTATATCTTTCCATTTCTGTTGTCTTCAATTTCTTTCATCACTATCTTATAGTTTTCAGGATATAAGTCTTTCTTCTCCTTGGTCAAATTTACTCCTAAGTATTTTATTATTTTTTTGTGCATTTGTAAATGAGATTTAGAAAAAAAATTCTCTCTGCTTTGTTCCTGGTGTATAGAAATACAAAATATTTCTGTATATTGATTTTGTATTCTACAACTACTGAATTCATTTATTAGTTCTAATAGGGTTTTTTTTTTCTTTTGGTAGTCTTTAGGGTTTTCTGTGTCTTTTACAAAAAGTAACAGTTTTTCTTCCTTACCGATTTGGATGCTTTTATTTCTCTGATTGCTGTCGCTAGGACTTCCAGTAATATCTATGTTGAATAAAAGTCGTGAGAGTGGACCTCCTTGTCTTATTCCTGATCTTGGAGGAAAAATTTTCAGTTATTTCCCATTGAATATGAAATTAGCTAAGGTTTGTCACATATAGCCTTTATTGCATTCTAAAATCACTTTGTTGAGAGTTTTTATTATGAATGGATGTTAAAGTTTAACTGCTTTTTTTTTGCATCTATTGAGATGATTATCTGATTTTTATTTTTCCTCTTGTTAATGTGATATATCGCATTGGTTTGCAGACATTGAACCATTCCGGCCACCCTGGAATAAATCCCACTTGATTGTGGTGAATGTTAATATATTGTTGAATTTGGTTTGCTAAAATTTTGTTGAGGATTATGCATCTATGTTCATCAGGGATTTTGGTCTATAGTTGTCTTTTTTTGGAGTGTCTTTGTCTGGTTTGGGTATCAGGGTCCTGCTGGCCTCATAGAAAGAATTTGCAATTGCTCCTTCCTCTTCTTTTAGTTTGAGAAGGATAGACATCAACTCATCTTTAAACATTTGGTAGCATTTACCTGTGAAGCCATCTGGTCCTGGACTTTTGTTTGTTGGGAGTTCTGTGATTACTGATTCAATCTCATTACTAGTAATTATTTGTTCAGACTTTCTATTTCTTCTTGATTCAATCTTAGAAATTGTTTTCAGGAATTTATCCATTTCTTCTAGGTTGTTCAATTTGTTGGTATTGTTCCTATTTTCATAGTAGTTTTGTGGTGTTGGTTGTCCTTCGGTTTTATTTCAGTTGACAGTACTCTTTCATTTCTGATTTTCTTTGAGTTACTTCTCTTTTTTTCTTGATGTATTTGGCAAAAAGTTTATCAATTTTGTTTATTTTTCAAAGAACCAGCTCTTAGTTTTATTGATCTTTTCTATTGTTTAGTTTCTATTTCATTTATTTCCACTCTGGACTTTATTATTGCCCTTCTTCTACTAAATTTGGGCTTTGTTCTTTTTGTAGTTCCTTTAGGTGTAAGGTGTAAGGTTGCAGTGCTTGAAATTTTTCTTGCTTCTTGAAGTAGTCTGTATCACTCACTATAAACCTCCTTCATAGGACTGCTTTTGCTGCATATCAAAGATTTTAGAACACAGTTTCCATTTTCATTTCTCTCCATGTGTTTTTTTTTTTTCCTCTTTGATTTCTTGGTTGACCTACTGGTTGTTTAGTAGCATGTTGTTTAGCCTTCACGTGTTTGTTTTTTCCGTTTTTCTTGTAATGAATCTGTAGTTTCATATGTTGTGGTCAGAAAAGATATTTGATATGACTTCAATCTTCTTAATTTTTTTCAGACTGGTTTTGTGGCCTAACATGTGATCTATCATGGACAGTGTTTCATGTTGCCCTGAAAAGAATGTATAGTCTGTGGTTTTTGAATGAAATGTTCTATATATATCTGTGAAGTCTATCTGGTCTAATGTGTCATTCACAGACATTTTCTGTCCTGTCATGACTGGGCCATGACTGCCACAGATCCACTGGTGGGTGTGGCTGACGCTCAGCCCAGCTGGTGGTAATGGCCAGTTGTGACCGCTGTGGACACATTGTTGGACAGGGTAGCCCTCAGTGTGGCTGGCTGAGAGGCCTGGATGCACTACTGAGTATGCTGGTTGGTGGGGCTGGCTTTCCACTTCCCTGCGGCAGGAGCTGTTCTGGAGGGGTGCACATGACCTCAAATTTCTTTCAGGTATAACCCAGGCGTTTTTCAAATTGCTGTCTCTGGTTCGGTGTTGGAGTGAGTGCTAGAGTTCCCTGAGCCTTTAAGAACAGACTTTCCATTTTGTATCGCCCTCAGGCTGTCCAGAAATAAGTCCTGCTGATTTTCAAAGCCAGAAATTATGAGGGCTCATCTTCCTAGTGCAGATCCCCATAGGGAGGTAGGGTGTGTGTGTCTGGATATGGGGCTTGATCCCTCTGCTCCTCAGGGAGGACCTCCTGCCTGTGCTACCACCCCTGTTTGTGGGTCTCTGTGCTGGGGATTTTGTTCACAATGGTATATCTGCCTCACCTACCCTTCTCAACATGGCTTTTTGTCTTTAGCTGTGGAATAGCTGTTCTGCTAGGCTCAGGTTGTTCTGAGTGAATTGCACTCTATATATTCGCAGCCTTGATGTATTTGTGGGAGGAGGTGAGTTCAGGATCCTCCTACTCTGCCATCTTTTCCAAATCCCAAGATCTACTTTCCTTATACCCGTTGTAAAAGGCAAAAGTGTGTTTAGGAATAATGAACTTTTATGGTTTAGGTCACATTATTTTCATTTTATGGGGAGATCTGAATTGTTTTGAAATGCCATCCAGTCTTGTGGCTCTTTGGCAACTTCCTGTGTTTTTGCTAAAGCGTAGCTCTTAGAGTAAAATGGCTTCACAGTTCGGCCCCAGGACATATTTTAAGAACACTCTTGCCTGGCAAGGACACGTCATAACTAATCTTAACAAGTGACTAGACAAAACTGAGTATTGTTACACTGCCAGTTTACAATTTCTGGATTTTAAAAATTTTAATAATATGAAGTAAAATAATCTGAATGCCACTTTTTGAGTTTCAATCAAGTTAGCGGTTTATTTTTTAGGACCTGTTACTTTCAAAAAGTTACATAGTACAAAAGGTTGGCACACAAGTAACCATGAAATATGCTCCCAGCCCACCTGTGCTTACCCATAAAGGAGAGTTTAATAAGATGAAATATAGAATAGATATAAATTATAGCTTAAATGATTTAGTTGTTAACTAGGAAACTCAAATTTTTTGGTATAAATTATTGAAATGTCAACTTCTTCATATAAACTTTGATACATTTTGTTTAAATATTTAAATGTTAAAGGACATACACGCACATAGGGTAGTACCCTCTCTGCCTCCATTCTGGTTTAACTTTCCATGGTTTCAGTTATCTGTGGTTCAACCACAGTCTGGAAGCAGATGATCCTCCTTCTGACGTAATGTCAGAGGTGAACAGTGGCATAACACTAGGTCTGTGTCATTCCCCTCACTTCAAATCATCTCGGAGGCATTTTTATCATCTCACGTCACAAAAAGAAGGGTGAGGATAGTACAGATTTTTTTTTTTTAAAGATTTATTTGAGAGAGGGAGAGTGAGTTGGGGGAGGGGCAGAGGGAGAGAAACTCAAGCAGACTCTGTGCTGAGCATGGAGCCTGACATGGGGCTCGATCCCATGACCCTGAGACAAAATCGAGTTGGACACACAACCAACCAAGCCACCCAGGTACCCCTACATTAAGATATTTTGATGGAGGCTACATTCATATAACTTTTATTATAGTATATTGTTATAATTGTTCTATTATTAGTTATTGCTACTAATCTCTTACTGTGCTTAATTTATAAACTTTGTATAGGAAAAATCATATAGGGTTTGGTACTATCTGCAATGAGGATAATGGGGGGGGTGGGAGACAGGATGTGCTATATGATTGATTAGATCATTTCCCTTATTTTTAAATCCCTTCAGATATTTGGGAAAACTTAGCAGCAGCAGGTCTTTGCTTTTGGACAACTCAGTGATCACTTAGTTTTCTGTGTGTTTTTGCCAAATTCTCTACACTGACCAGAGAGGGAGTGAGAACCTATTTGGGGTTTGTCACTGGCATGGATGGAACATCCTAATCAAGGGTGCTGAGCTGTGTTTTGGCTTCAAGTTTACCTGCTAATTCAAATGAAGACTTGTTTGCCCAGAAACATGAAATTGTACCTCAATGTTTGCCCTCAAATTAAAGGTCATCCCTTTAATTTCCAGCTACAGTTGGCTAAAGTAATATTAAGAATTTTTCATAAAACCCTAATCATCCCCCCCTCCTGCCCATTGTTGAAGGCACATTTATCAGTGAAATATCTGCTGCAGAAACTGATCTGTCTCTTGATTGGCTCTTAGCGCTGTGAACTCTAGCTGTGGAGAGGAAAATCTAAAACAAGGCCCCCTATTCGGGCCTGCTCAGACTCCTGTCAGTCAGTGACAGGAAGGGAGTGGGCTGCTGACCTGCAGGAGGCCAGCCCCGGCGGGTGCTCTGCTAGCTTTGGACTCTTGGTCGTCCCGCTAGATGGCTGTCCTTCGGCTCCTGCAGACAGATGGTCTGGGGCCTGATGGCTCCGGCTTAGGCCTTGCCTGCATGTCTCTGCCCCTGGGGGTCTGCGTCATCGTCACTTCCCCTTACTTGCCAGGCTGCTCCTCCCTGGCCCCACGTTTCCAGAGTGTTTACCTACCACCTGGTATGTCCAAACTATCTGGTTGGATTTCAGTTTTGTTTCTGAAAAGCCCCCGTCTTTGCAGAATCACATGAAGAACCGACAGTCAGTATTCTTTTATTTAGCTTCCCTTCTTGCCGTTAGGGTCCTGTCATCTAAAATGTGTCAACGTCCTTCACCTTTCTTGATTTTGAAGATTTACTCTCAGGAAAATATGCATCTTGCCCTCCAGTTGCAATTCCTATTTCAGCAATACCTAGGAGAACAATTTCTTCCTACACAGGCTGTGGATAGCATCATTCCCCAATGTCTATAAACAGGGCCTGGTTCATAGTTCTAATTAATTAACTTTATTAACTTGGAGCTGAAAGGAGGTGGCAACTTAAACAAGGAAATAAAAAGCAGTGGACCTCGTCAGACTGGTTCCACATAACTGAAGGTATATGGATAATAACTGCTTTTTAACTGAAGGTAAAAGAGCAGTCATTTACTTATTGCATGTAATAAAGCAAAAAAGCTCAGATGGACGGCACAGCACAGTCTAGTTACAGCTTATCTACAGAATATGCTAACTACAAAAAAAATCCCCAATTTTTTTTTTCACTTAGTGCAAGTAGCAAGTTTATTTTCTTTAGTGTAGAATTAAGAGTTAATGTGATGCCCCAAATGAGGTAAAATTGCAACATTTGCATAGGAAAACCTTCCTTGACACACTTTAGATCTTTGTTAAACTTATTGTCAGATCAAAGAAACTGCAATTTCAGGTTTGTTCACAGAAAAAAAAAAACTGTTACTTGGGAAGTTTCAAAATGGCAATTCGATCCCAGAGTCACAATTACCAAGGGAAAAACGCTCTCTCGGTTCAGAGTTTCGGCAGCACTGTAATACCTTATACATCCACTTGATACAAAAGCAGGTGCGTTTTGCAAAGAGTGCATACATTCCAGTACATCATTTTTGGAAATGTGCTCAACAGCCTTATAGTCTCCTACAGGGTCTAATGAACACGAATTCAACAATGATAACAATGAGCTTACATGCGTTTCCTCACGGCTCTCTTAGATTCAATTTTATGTTCCCGATGCTACATTGATAGCATGAAGATCCCAGTGAAGGAGAAACCTGGGCCAATATAAACAACATGCATGGAATATGTATGTATATAGATCAAGAGTTGACACTGATGATTTGATTTTCATTAATGCTGAAAACAGGACGGTAAGAATTAGTGACTTAGAAAAGTGGTATTTTCTTCAGGACACATTGCTGAACACATGGCCACCTACCTGTTTTCTAAAGCATTATGTATAATTTAACCACCAAATATAGAACACATGAATACCAGGAGACAAGAAAAGCATTACAACCCATTACAATCTTGAATAAGCCAAGACCTCAAGTACATAGAAAAAGCACTGCAATCATGTTATTTAGCTTTATTTTTCTAACATATATCATAATTTAAACTATATAAAGTCACCTATATAAAAAGCAATTTTTTTTTCAAGTGGTATAGCTTGGAGCATGGCTTTATATTTGGCTTAATCATTTTTTACCAGCTTAATTTATAAAGCTCGTAATCTTGCCAGCAGGGCTTCAACTTCGGGAACAGATTCGTTTTTAGAAACAGAGCCAAGAAGTTCCATTTCCTTTTTTCTGTTGCTTTCTACATTACAGGCTTCCTTCTTCTCAACTGCCTTGATCCTCCCCGTAGACGTATGAGTGTCTAGATTATAATTAAGCTCCTTGGCGACTGGAGTCCTCGTTGAGTTGCAATTGATATTGTAGTGTGAACGTGACCCTTCTGTCAACTGCACTTTCTGATTTTCTACAGTAAGGAAGAGAGAAACAGAAAATTTATCACTGTGATAAGCAAGGACTGCACATTATGAAACATTAATTTAAAATAATTATTCTCAAACAACTCCTCTTAGATAAATTAAAATATTCAGAGAAGGGTAGATTGGAAATAAATACACATCTTTTAAGAATAAACTAAAATATAAATAGACAACCCTTTCCCTAGCATGCGTGCTGATTTCCTGGTCTCTGCTCAAATGCTCTAAGCAGAGAGGTCTTCTAGGACCATCCAGCAGAAAGGGCACCGCCCCCTTCCATCACACATTTACCCTTCTTCATAGAACTCCTAGCCACCAGTCACGTCATATACCTGTTTACTTGAACACTGTATCTTTACTAGAATGTCAGTTCCATGACAGCAGGGGGTGCTGTTCTAAATACCGCTTTAACGTCAGTGCCTAAAATGGCCCTAGGGCAAAGCGGTGCTCAATATGCACTGGGTAAGGAAATCCTCTGCATACTCTAGGACCGAAGATATGCATTAGTTGGAATAATGAGATTTTTTTTTCTAAAATGAAAACAGAACAAAAAGCAAACCTTCTACTAGGTCTTTAAAAACTCAATGATTTCCTTCAAAAGAAATATAGCATTTGGCAAATTAAACCTTCCTAGCAAATCAAAATTATGTCCTACTCTGTCACATATACACACATATATTCAGACATGTATCCATATGCACACATATATTCTTTTATTGGTAAGTGACACTGAGCTGGCGTGGAAGGCTAGAAGGCGAGAGTCGCAATAGCTAACGACCAATGGCTCTAGCTGATTGACTTTTGCAGGGAACGCTAGATTTTGTTTTAATTAACTGGCCTATCGCACAACCTTATGAGTTATTAGACCTCAAACTGTTAAAAAACAGACACCCTCAATATTCATGTAACCTTGAATGGGGCTTGAAAATGGCTTCAACAAACTTGCCATGACATTTAGTTTTTTGGTTATTCGCTGAGAGATGTTCCATTATCCCAATAGTAATGACTCTTGAGCACAAGCAGTCACTCATGACAGTGTGTTTTATGTGAATGCTGAAAATTCCAACCGAAAACAGCTTGTACATTAAAAGGTGGCTGCTGAAGATATTTACTGCACTGTCATTTCCTGACCAGGGGCTTCCAGTGATGGATGAGTATTTTACACACTTTCTTGGACAATCTCAACAAATTTTAGAAGTATGATCACCTTTTTAGCTGTTAGAAGAAAATAGTTTTCTTATCACCTCCTCTATCAGGTGGGCAATTGTTACTCAGAAATCAAAATCTAACAGCACTGATTTTCTTAGAGCTGTTTATGCTTTATAATTTATAATGTACATATTGTGTTTGCAGTAAAGAGGACAGAGGTCATAGTATTCCTGCAGTTCCCATGACTGTACAAATTTATTATTTTTTTATAGTATCCACCCTCCCACCCCCAGAATGAGAACTGCATTTGTAGCTAAGTGGAAATCTTTGGTCAGCTTACTGCTCTTTTCCCCCAGACGTTCCTATCTTTTCTTGTCCTTTGATTTCTTGTAAACGACTCCATCATGATGACATCGCCAATGAAGTCACTGGTACTCTGCTGCTGGGCAACTCTAGCTCCAGTTGTGACGGAAAAGAAGACAGTAAGTTGGCTAAAATATGGGCGTATAATAAACACAAAGTATTGCATACCTTCTCTGGCTATAAAATGGATCAAGCCCAATTCCATATGTGGCAAAATGAAAAAAAAAAAAAGGGTGGGATTTTGAGGATTGAAATCCACACTTCTGCTTGGCTTTAATAAGTTAACCATGTGTGTCACAGGTTCTAATAATGTCAAAGAGTAGTTGTGAGAATTAATGCAAATGATGTGGGTGACACCAGCTTCAAGATACTTGATTTCCCCTTCTAGAAAAGTTTTTTTTTTAAAGATTTTATTTATTTGAGAGAGAGATGCAGACTCCCTGCAGAGCAAGGAGCCCAATGCAGGTCTCAATCCCAGGACCTGGAGATCATGACCTGAGCCGACGGGAGACGCTTAACTGACTGAGCCACCCAGGCGCCCCTCTATAAAAGCTTCTTAAGGGATGCATCTACCACCCAAGGCTGACCCTTCTGACTTTCTGGTGACTGTACCGGTAAGGCCTGAAATATCATTTTATTAACAGCTTGCATTTATATAGCACTTTTATTTATAAAACGTTTGTTGCACTTTAAACATTACCACCCTCATTTTATAGATTGAGAAGTAAAAGCAAAAGGAGGTTAAGTCATTTGGTTAGACTTAGTTACTGAGTAAATCAGTGGCAGAAGCCAAATGCTGTCTCTAGAGATACTAAGGCTGTCTTAAACAAATTTGAAAAGCTTTTTGCCAAGGAAAAGTGCTAAGTAATTCAAAGCTAAGTTTCATAATAATCATATCCTGTACTTATACCTCAAAATGCTTTCTGTCACATTTAATTCGCTCAATAACTTTGTATAGCAGATCGCAGACCCATGTAAACTACCCCAGTACAGTACATCCAAGGTCATACATGTGCTCCTTTTCTTTCTGGGTCTTACTGAAATTGTGACAATGAATTTCAAGTATGACCTTACTACTATTGCAGTTCCCTCATCCATTCATTCTTCCATTCTCCGAGACAAATATTTCACACCACATCCTTTCTTATCAAATGTCCAACGTGTTCTCCTTCGCTGTCATTTAACTCATTCAGGGAAACAATCAGAACTCCCATAAGCTTCCACCCGCCCCCAATATCTATCTACTTACTGCATATAGACTCCTTCCCTCCTTAGGGTCTTCTGTACTCCCCTCTGAGGAGCCTTCACCGTGAGCACCACATACTACTGTCATTTGTCTATTCAAGGACATCCTTCTGGCAGCTGTGTCCTTTCTCTATAGGAAAGGTTTCCTTCTTCATGTGATTACTTCCCTCAGCATACGAGTAAGTTGTAATAACCCCAGTCTTTAGAGAAAATATGTATTTGACTCCACATCCTCCATTTACTCCCTCAATTGTCAACTGCCTTTACAGCAAAACATCTCAGAAGAATTGCCCATTCTTACTCTCTCGTTTCCTCTCTTCCTATTTTTCTCTTGAACCCACTCCAATCATGCTTTTGACCCTTTACTCTTCTGAAACAGCTCTTGTCAAGGTCACTAATAAACTGTGTGTTGCTAACAGCAAGTACTCTATATCCACTTGGATATTTTAGTCCTCCTTTACTCAACCTATGCCAGATCAAAGGATGAAATGCCTAGCAGAGCCTGGGCTTTTCTTTAACCGTTTGCTCTTTGAACTTCTTTGGAGGCTTAGGTGCATACCACTGGGTGGGTCAAAGCAGGCAAGAGCATTTCTAACCCCCCCCCCCTTTTTAAGGAAATTCCAAATAATATTTTGTTCCTACAGCACACCCACAGATAAGAGAAAAACCAAGCTAGCATTTAACTCCTCTGTGGTTTCAGGTGGAGGATCCTTTATGAGAAGCGACAGACAAGATGACACAAAATGGAAAGTGGCCATTCCTGAAACCACCTGCACCAGGACTTCTTTAAGACTGAGCTTCGAGCTCTTAGATAACAACTCTTCACTCCAGCCCTCACATTTATCTCTTCGCATTTCAATAGTCTCCAGGCGGGAGACTATTGCAGTTTCTTTCTCTTTGCTTTGTTCCCAGTCATGGGAGCCCCAAACTGTGGAACCGAGGATATCTCATCTGAAATTGCAAAGCTGATAAAGTTGAGATGGAGGAGTCTCCTATCCCACTGCCACTAGCCACAATGTTTACAGGTAGAAGGAAGCTCCCAGGTGAACGTTCACTTTTATTATAATGTTGGTTCAAAGCCAGGTGATTTTGCCATTACTATTATTTCAAACGTTGGCTATTGGTGGCTTCATGTGGGCTGAACTATAGATAAAAATTCCACACAAAAATATGCACTTGGTTTCTAAATGGTTCACTTCAAACATCGGGGGATGGCACAATGCTTTAAATTGGAGAGAACCCTCTATAGGTGCTCAGAGGCATAAAATAATGTGAAGCTAGTGGGCTCATTGCCTTTTCCCAAGAAATTAGATGGTTCCAAATACAAGATGACACACTTGGACTCTTTCTATGAAAGATAAGGCTGGGGTATCAAAAAAAAATTTCTATATCCTGTCAATTCAAATCCCTACCACTATACATTTTTAAATGGAAACTAAAAATATTAAGACAAAGCAGAATGGTTGCTTAACTCTCCAAAGTGAGGAGGCTTGTGCTATTATTTTATGAATCAAATCTAGGGCTTTACAAGATGCTACAATTGATGTCTGTGAAGGGAAGTATCATATATCTAGGTCTACGGCCAATACCAGGGGCCATTGTGATATGGTACAGATGGCAAGGACCAGCTGCTATTCTTAGTAGTAGGTCAGTAAGGGAATCTAATCCACGCATCTTGTTTCTACATTTCTGTGGAAATAAACTGTGAGGATACACGCTATTTTCCTTTAAGACAAAAAAAAACACAAAACACAAAAAACAACCAAAACCCCCCAAAAAACCCTATTTCAATTTAATTCTTCATATGATTCTCATTCTAAGAATTGATTCTGGAGTCCCACCATGGCTTCTTTCCCCGCCCCCCCAAAACTGAATGAAAAGTTGAAACCTGTTGAAAAGCTGAATGGCTCTTAAATACAGAGAACCCCCTGGACTTAAACATGAGAATAAAAGCCTTAAACTAGACTTAGGGCTGGATCCCACATGACCTTTGGCAGACTATAGATGTGGATGACAAAGCTAAACAAAACAAACCCAAAACAAAAAACACCCACCATCCTGAGCTGATTTTTTCCCTTGTTTCCCCCTGAGTAACACAAAAGACATGGGAAACTAGGGAGGTTGCTGACGAGAGTAAACAAATATATGCGACGGGGCCTCCAAATGAGGAAATCTTTCAGCCAACCGTTGTTATACTTCTTAGGCTGAGGCCCTGGCTGATGGCCCTTGGGGA